CAACAGGAACGAGCGCACTTGACGATGAATGAAATGAAACACGCTGTGTTTTCCGCGAACTGGCAACCTGGGGTGCCGAAATACAATTGGGTAAACTGGCAGTAGGCGGGTTTCACAAACCAAAACAGAGACCGACATTCCGGCCCAGAACGCACATTCAGATAAACAAGTATGTTAACTTAGCTTGTTTCTTAAATATCTGCAAACATATTATGGTATTTTTATGCTTTAGTAGAGTCAAAAACTTACATACAGCACCTTTAAATCTCACCTGCCTGATTTTGAATTTTGACACAAAATGTTATTACATTATTGCCCAGCTCTTTATATAAAGTCGAATATATAAGTATGTACAACTTTATCCACATAACTTCACCAAGTTTTACATTTAAAAATCAACAAACAACAAATAAAATGACTTTTTGTTTGCATAATCACTAAAACAATAACATTACCAATGATGTTTGGATTTTAAATGACAACTTGACTGACAACAGTTTAATAGCATGTTGAAATATCTAATGTAAATGTTCAAATAAAGCTTTGAAAAAGTTTAATAAAAAGGTAAACCTCACATTTCAGCCTTTAAATAAAGAAAAGATATAAGTCAAAATGATTATTGATTAATAAATGATTATATGTATTTTATCTGCTCCATAAAGAATTACAAGTATATTTATTCTAGAATAACTTATTGTGAATTGTTCAACTGAATTGTTTAAATGTGTAGAATTCACATAAGCTTGTTTTTCATAAACCGGTCAAAATTTACAGCAGGGCATGCAAATTCGGTCCGTTTTTTTGGCCAGACAGAAACTGCACACAGACTGAATGTAAATATACACTCACCGGCCACTTTATTAGGTACACCTGTTCAATTGCTTGGTAACACAAATTGCTAATCAGCCAATCACATGGCAGCAACTCAAAGCATTTAGGCATCTAGATGTGGTGAAGACGACTTCTAAATGCGACTGTAAGGCATGAAGATATTATAAACATTAACATGATTTTCTGTAAATCTAATCTACTTCAAAACAATGTGCATTATGAAAAACTCAGTATAAATAAATCTGACTTAAAGATTTTCTCCAAAAACAGCCCACAGATCTGTGCAATCTAATGCATATTGCATAAAAAAATGCCAAGTCTTAGTCAATCATATAAATAACAATACTAGTATCCATTATATTGTGGTATCACTGATGAACTGTGGTCAGTCTCTTCCTGTCTAAGTGGGTATTTCTTGGTCAGTATAAACAGCAAAGTGGATTCCGGTTTATGCCTGAAGTCTAGCTCCGAGACTAGGATCATAATGATCATAATGATGTTACCAGTAAACATTCTGTGGATCTGGAGCGTATGTGACTGTCCAGTTGTTTGTGTTGAGGAGGCTGCTGAAGGGGGAGCACTTTGGCTCTCGTCGACAGTGACAGCCATGACACTGACACGCGTTAAAATCTTTCAGGATGCTGCCAAGGGGAAAAACACAGATATTAATTTTTTTTTCATTCTATTAAAAGTACTGTGATGGTAACATGATCGTACCAGAAGGTAATACCATTAAGATAATCATAGTACCCCCATGAAACTTTTAGCGTTTTATTCACACACAGAGACCAAAACATCTATTTGACTTACAGGGCTGTCATTGCTTCATTCTGGAAGGTAACAAACGCCATTCCCAGAGGTTTAGTGTTGACTTTTTCTCGTTCTTTTCTGTATTCTTCCTTCAGTTTGGCCTCAAGCTTAGTGTAGTAGTTCACAGCCTCTTCCTGCAACAATGGATTAACATTATTTGCATTATTTGTTTTAAAGACCCCATCAAATAAAAATTTGCAATTAGAGTCTGTATGATATTCTGGTCTCTAGATATGTCTTGTGGCGGGTTATAAAGGCCTCACTGATTTACGTTACAAGCTATCAGAATTTCATCTTACTTTTTGGTCATATACATCAGCATCTGCACCAAATTGCATATTTTTGCTCAATCTGTTAAGTGTTTTTTCCTCTTGGCGTATGAGCTTGATATTCTCTATATCACACTAGATGAACTTTAAAACCTGATGTATCAAACAAGGTACTCAACAAAAACTTATTTTTTTCTGACTATTATTTAATGTGCCAGGCTTTACAATTTAATATCACGTAACTGTCCATTTGAATTCTGTTACTTTTCCACGATTTAATTAAACCATTAAGCAACAAACCCTCTATTTAAAGATTTGTACGCCTGCAAGTTAAAGGGTTAGTTCAGCCAAAAATTTAAATTAGGCTGTGTTTTACTCACCCCGATGCATCCTAGGTGTATATGACTTTCTTCTTTCAGACGAATCCAGTCGGAGTTATATTAAAAATGGTCTTTGATCTTTCAAGCTCTATCGTTGTACTCAGCGGGTGTTGCATTCCTTCAGTCCAAAAGACGTGAACTAAAAAGCACCCTTCCACAAAAAAAAGTGTCTCACACGGCTCCCGGGGGTGAACAAAGGCCTTCTGTAGCGAATCGATGCATTTTTGTAAGAAAAATA